ATATTACCACTTGGATTGTAGCACTCGGCTGGAAGGTTACCTCGATCTTCAAAGTGATCTGGCTGAACAATTGTCCCAGAAACTGCGGCTACAAGTTTAATGACGAACAACAACGCCAAAAAACATTGACAATTCATCAGGCCGTTCCTCCACCAGTTGTTAGAAATATATATTTTATTTCTTTTTTCTACGCGAGGTAGGGAATCGTTTACAATCAATCTCTAGTATACTATCTGTTCTTAGTGTTCGTCTCCTTGCAGTAGTTTTCCAAGAGTTCACTTCAGCCTTCAACTGGCTTTCACTGTTCGTGATCTGTTTCGTTTATTTCTTCGTCGTTCGTTTGTTTCGTTTGAGTTTCTGCAGCTTTTCATCAGTTAAGTTTTATTCAGCATACGTCCACTGACGAATTTGGGTTGTGCGCGCCCTTTTATACTAACGGTTGAGGGATCTTTCTACACGTGATGTAGCAAGTGGTGTGATTTGTATCCAGCCAATCAACGTTGAGGTTTAAAGGTGTGGGTTGGCGTTACTAGCTCGTTCCAGCTCTCAAATTCTGTTTATTTAAGGCGTTGTCGCACTGGTCGAGTTGGTTCGCTGTTCAATCGATCATCATTAAAACATGTTCACAACTTAAAATACTCATCAAAATATCATAGTAAAAACTTCAAACTATACCTATGTGAACCTTACTTTACCTACTAAACTAAATTTACTTACAATTTTATTGAACCAAGATTTTGATGACGTAATGTTATCATTACTCAACCGCGCGAAATATACCGAAGAATGATTGACAGAAAGGCCCTAAGCATGCACATTTTCATGTCAGAGAAGAACCAGCCTTGGACTTTGAATTATGTAAACACAACAGCCCACCATGCAAGGTTATCGTCCATCTTTGACAAATTGACAAATTATTTATCTTGCCTAATGGATAGATAATTGACACTTTTACACAAGTCCGAAATGATATATACTTTATCTGAGTTTTACAGCAAAAATGCTCATTATCTCTCCATTTGACGTAACTAGTATCTATAATTACCTGGGGTGCAAATTGAACTATTTTTATACTATTTTTAATACTTTCGTAACAATACTATAACTGCGTAGTAAGTATATTTAAAGACTATAAGGTGTTTTTCATATTAGATTGATATCTGCATGTAAGTAAGGGAATAATTCTAATATAAAAGAGGTAAGAATGTTCGTACTATATGTGTGTATGTAAATAGAAGTATATAGGTTATATATGAAAACGTCTATCTTGATGACGCTGTGTTTTTGCCGGCGTGATTGAACCACTATTTTCGGCGAAACAAATCATTAGAGAGTTTAAAAGCCGAGACATATACAGGACGCGACTGGACAACGCGGCGCGATTTTTCCGTTTTTGAAAGTTAATAAAACGGCCAATAAGGTAAATTTTAAAAGATACGTAGACCAAATAACTCAAAATGTTATGGCGCTTCTAAATATTTGGAAAACCAGGATCAAAGTTATCGGTCAGTGAAAATCGAAAAATCGCGGCGCTGCGTTGTCGAATCGCGTCCGGTGTGTCTGGACCTTAAAGGCCAAAACACACTAGACGCGATTCGACAACGCGGCGCGATTTTTCAGTTTTTGAAAGTTAATAAAACAGCTAATGAAAGGAAATTTTAAAATATATGTAGACCAAATAACTCAAAATATTCTAAATATTTGAAAACCAGGGTCAAAGTTATTCGTGAGTGAAATTCGAAAAATCGCGCGGTGTTGTCGAACCGCGTCCAGTGACCGGGTCGGCCTTAAGATCCTTGACGCGGCAAGTCAACGATGCGCCTAATTCAATACAAAGAAATTCTTCATGCAAGACAAAAACTATGAATAATTTGTTGTCCCAGGGTTGTCCTAAACGGTGTTGTCATTCTGAATACAACGTTAAGGTAAGCATTATCATGTCATGACTTTGCCCTTCTAAGTAGAGCTATGGCACTCGAAAGTGCTTTGCATTGTTCATTAATGTGTTCTGTCCATTATTTCATTTTCAATCATAACACGTCACATGCATATACGACCAATTTTTTTTTACACCATGAAAGGAATTCCGTTTCAAACACATACATTTCTATATAAATTTTACAAACTAGATATAAATTATTAATAAGAGCCTATCGAAAATCAGTTTATATTCCTTACCTTTTTCTTTCTTCCATAGCTTCTATCTATATACGCGATATCCTAAGATGCTGCATGTATCCTAAGATATTTCATGCATGATATCCTAAGATACTGCGTGATATCCTAAGATACTGCATGATATCCTAAGATACTTTGATACCATGCATTTTGATGTAATTGTGGTTTTTCATTTTATCGATTTTGGTTTTTTTATGAATGAAATCATGACGTCATCGATCCGTGGCTTATAGCACCTAATTTTTTTGGACACCATAAAAAAGTCAAATCAAGTGAAAAATATTCGGTTACCAGGATCTGCAATTAAAAATTCCCTGTCTTGCAACCACGTTGCAAAAGCTGCATCTGCCGGGTTCTTGGCCGTCAGCCTTGACATTACATCTTGTAAAAGTCAAGTCTTAATGTCATTATATTTTAAGGGGAAAAGGCCCTAATTAAGAATTTGCCCTGCAGTTGCAGTCCCCTAACAATGCCCTGTACCCCAATATCTATTATGTGCCCTGTACGAATGCATGAAGTCGGACACAATCTTACGTCTCTTGCTGTCCCAGCTGTATAAGGTATGGTTAAACTGCAGTGTTTTCCCGACTCGCATTCGACACGCACAACTGGCGAAGAAGTAAAGTTTAAGAGATGAATACTTAATTTCCTTCAAAACATAAACATAAAGATAAAAAAGGTGGCTGAACAATACATTCAATGAATTAAAAACGGACTGATACCCAGCTGTCCCTGGTGATTCTAACTTCTGATTGGTTAATCTTTCATTGTCAATCAATGATTGGCTATTGATATTCATGATATAGAGCAAAATAACGCTCATGAAAAGCTGCATCCGTTTGGATTATAACAAACTTTAGATTAACAACAATAGCATCCCCAAAGGATAAAGTACGCCTGCTGCAGTTGAATAATCAAGTTTTGTTTCGAGAAACCGATTTCTTGTTGCTAAGGTATGTTAAGGGAAAATTCGTATCCAAATTATAATACTAGCGAAAATGTGGAGCATAATTCATGAATTAGACCGACCAATTTCCCCTCAACAAAGCGACTGTGCTCTATGTTTATGTCATCTGTGGTTTTGTTGTCAGTAAATAATATATTCATTTAAGCCCCCGCATTTGTCTATGTAGTCATGACCAGAATTCATTCTGCAAATTTCAGAAAGATTAAAACACCATTAAGTGTGAAATATCGTTCTATCTTCCACATGAAGCTGGCGTTATTTTTAAGAAAAGTTGCAACTATGTTCAATTTGTCGCAGCCCACGTTTCAACGTCCAGGCAACGTCGAGTTTTAAATAATTTAAAATCTCCAGGCAGCTCTTAGTTATAAGCCTGGCTATGTATTTTTATGTATTTTCGCTTCGAGTTCGTTTATGCATATGATCATTTTAAATTTTGTCGCGGCAATGCACTTGCGACGACCGGACGATTTCAGAATCGTGTGCGAAGCTAAGTCCGGTACAATTCGTCCTTACGAGAATTCGAAGGAACGTTACTGCATGGTTATTTTCGAGTTCGTCTGTTTAACGTACTACTATTTTGAAAGCAACTGTGAACATATATAAACGTTTCTCCACGCGGTTTTTGTACGTCCCTTCCTAATTGTTTTAGTGTAAATGTATAAAAGCGACTGACGTTTTAGAGTTAACAAAAGTATGTTTTAACCCCCGAAATTATGCGGATATATACAGCTTCCAAATTGTAGTTGTACAGACGTTATAATATTATTTAATATTTGCTGTAAAAATCGATAAAGAAAAATGCTACATTTGATAAGTCGGTCTAAAACCTCGCTCCTATACAAAACAATATCGGCACGGAACCTACAAACGTGTATGAAAGGAATGGCAATCGTGTATGTTTGAACTTTGAAACGTAAAATAACCGCGTACAAGGGTGGAAAAACGTTGGCAGTCACGCCTGCTTCCAAATGGTTGTTCTCCGTGTGAACGCGCGAAACAAAATCGTGCTAAATTGAGTACGGTTCCAATTCATCCGACAGCGTAGGCGTCAATGACAATAAATTGTTCCGGCACAACACTGCAATATTAAACTTTAAGAAATTTAATTATACTTCCACGAAAACTGGAATATATAGGCATTATAATTATAGGAAATTCACAACAATCCGGTTTGTTACATCCTATTATTGGGCGTATAAGGACGAGATATATATTGGTCTATACAGCGAACCTTTTGTTGTTCCCTTCGATATAATCGCTGAGCTAGTTTGACTGATCAATATTTTTTATAAAAAAGTATAATTATATAACCTTTGACTTTGTGTGTATGTAATTATTGATTTTTTGACGTATTTGAATTGTCGCTATTGCTCTAAGCGATATATAAATATATAGTATAGCATATCACATTGTATAGTGCATGAAAAGCAAGTGCGCATTATTCTGAAATTAAAATAAACTGCCAGCAGTTTGATCTTTTGTTGATCCAGCGTATTTGTCAATATTGCACTTCCAGCTTTGTCCTTTTTGAATACATAATGAGTCAGAGTGTGAATTATCATGATAATTAATTGATTGCTGAAATTCAACGCAGTTTTAATTTTATACGCCATATTATTTCCTCATTATAACATTTTACAGTGCAGTGAGTATGCTATTGCCATAGCGTGCGCACCATATACTACTTCGTGAAAACTAGGCATGCTACAACTCCACTCCCATACTTATAGCTGCGTTAATTGTTTTAAAAAAAAATTATATTTTTTTGAAATGTGTGAGCAAGTAAAAAGCAGCTGTTCGATCGGGCTCGAGGCTTAAGCTCATGCCGACCACAGAGAACGAGTTGCATCTCCAGACCACGGCGGGCAAGATGGAAGGACAGATCGAGCCGAATGAAAAATAACTGGCAGATTTGCTACCTCAGAATCTGTTGCAAATTACTTGCCAGATTTCGCAACAATGGCATAATCGCGCACCTAGAAAATAACAGTTGACTTTAGACTACGTTTCAATCCTTCAAATAATCGTAAACGAACGGTGCAATGGGAACTAAAAGTTGTGCCTGTTGAGGCCACGACGGCGAAATTGTGTCTGCGAAATTCCACGACGGCGTAATTGTAGTTAATTGTGTCCGCGAAATATGGACGGTTGACCATGAGTGATTATTTTGGCACTTCATTCGCTTTCGCATGCAGTGAGTACAACTGCATGCCTTCTATACTCTCTAACCAGCGATGTGAAATTCTTTCTCGCGGAGCCTAATTTATCTTCATTGCGCATGCACGAATTCATTTCGTGCGAAATGTTTTTCATTTCGCCGAGAAAAACGAATCAAAACAGCGGTAGTTGACAGTACGAAGACAGGCTGCGAATACTATAACACAGCTTCCCATTAAATTAAACTGTCAAACTTGGTAGCAATAGAACTTGCCTTGACCGATCTCTAACTCGATATCATGTAAAATATAAGTACAAATGGAAAATTTTAAAATCTGTGGGTATTACTCAATTATCTTATCCTTTAATAACTGCTCCCTGCAAGTAAAGCCAGAGACAAAAAGTCAACAAGGGAAGTAACATGTTTCGTATAGAAAAGTCTTTCGTGGGCCGTGTCAATTTCTAATTGGTCGATAATTGTATACGTGAAAATTTGTCATTATATATGTGCATATGTATTTTATACTATTATTTCTAAGAGCGCGATGAGAAGTTCGATGCTTTCGTATCGATTATTGAATGGGTTAATAAAGGCCAGACAAACCAAGCGCGATTCGACAATTTTTCGATTTTCATTGACAGGTAACTTTGACCCTGCATGCATGGTTCAATTAAGTTTTTGTTTAGTTCCAGTCACACTTGAGACGTCAACGAACATAAATTCAAGTAGCTACAACAACTCGATAAATTACACTAGGGCATCTTTATTACTATTTATAGTTTCGTATATAAACCATTACACATTATACATTACATATCACGAGTAGAATGTCAGGGGGAAAAAATTATATACCAAATTATATATACCAAATATATACTATTAATATATACCAAATTATAACATATTTATCTGTTCCAATAAGTTCCTCATTTTAGGCCGCGTTTTCCATTGTGATCACTATACACCTGCGCCGGACCACAGAGAAGAGATATACAGAGAGGAAACTGACACTCGATAACCTCAATTTTTGTGTCACGCGTTCCACGCGCCACGCAAAATCTTCCAGCCAGTGCCGTCGCTGAAATTTCATAGCAAAAGATAGGGAAAACGCCGTTCGAAAAGTGAAAATCGCTTTTTTTTTATAAAACAAATGAGATACCCATGGAAGTTTTGTTCAATAAATTATTGTAGAATAATGGTAAGCGATCACTTTTATTGATTTCTTTTTATTAAAAGTGTTAACATAACATTTTATTTTGCAAAAGTTTGTTTTTTCCCTATCTACTCCTTATTAAAATCGTGAAAAGCACTGGCTGGGAATTTCAGATGCTTATGTATAAAAAACAAAGCAGCAAATTATAGAAATTCCTCAAAATATGACTCTTGCATAAAAAAAAAACATGAATACTTCTATAAGATGTATAGTTTTTTCCTCTGCTTGGTCAAAATTTAATAAAATAGTGAATTAATATAATTTTCTATAGTTAATAGACTGAATATATCGGCGTGACACAATTTGCCGCGTGTTTCCTCTCTGTATAGCTCTTCTCTGTGGCCGGACGAGCGATCTACACCAAGTATGTGCATAAGGGCAAATAAAAAATACTTGGTTAGCGTCACCGCCCGCCTGTTGATTTCTGCCGCCTCTGAATTTTTTAAATTTTTTTAATGTAAATCTCTTCCTTTTACAGTTTAAAACATTTTAATATTTGAAATTTTTGTCATACTCAGACCTTCGCGCTATATACTGTCGCGCGTGGAGCGCGTGGGCTTGGGTACAAGGTTCTTGTATCAAAATGGCGGCCTTCGCAACATCAATACAAAAAACCGCCCCCTTCCCCCCCCCCCCAAAAAAAAAAAATACTATTAAAAAATTTAAAAAACGACTAAAAATTTTAAAAAAAACGCCCTCCCGCCTCTGAAAATTCATGTGAGAGTGTGACGCTAACCAAGTATTTTTTTTTATTTGGCCTAATCAGTTGCGTGGACACGCCAAGAAAGCTGAATCGGCTTGCCCTCAAGCACTAAAGCAAATTGAAAACTGTTACCTAGACAACTACTGCACTTGTTTAAAAATGTTTTTAAAATGGAAACGGCCATTAATTTCACGTTTTTATGGAGCGTGCGCTTGAAACATCGTTTCAGTAAACCTGTCCGCAAACAGTACCTTAGAATACCGTCAGGTCATGCAAAAATTACTGGGAAATCATGTAACCGATCTGTCTATCAGAACTGTCTTAGAGTCTGTCGTAGTGTATATATTTGCCTCTTAGTGTTCTATATATATTGGATTTAACAACTAACAGGTTCTGAGCACTGATTGAAAGATATGTATATCTGACATGATTTATAGCTATTGTTCTCGCCATAATTACCAGCAGGTGCATGAAACCAAATGTAAAATTTATCTAGTTAACTTTTGTATTTCCATTTCTAACCAGCCTATCGAATATGTTTTGGTAAGTGTAAAACTTAGAAGTTTTGTAGTAAGACCGGATAGCGCTCTCCAACAGGTAGTAATTTTTCAAGCTTCTAAAATTGGCCTATTGATTGGTATGACGCAATGAAACTTTACTGTAGTATATATAAATTAAAGTGTCTTTATATCAATTGCGGGGGTTCGTATTTGTAGTTTAAATTTTTCAAATATATTTTACTGCGGTTGTAACAATCACTATCCGCGGTGGAGAGCTACCGGGGCCTTCATACAACCGGTCCCTCTTCTTCATTATAATTATATTGTTACAAAATTATTTCCATGATTTCGATATTGTTTTAGTTTTAGCCGCATGCAGGAAAAGCAAATTCTTGACTATGGCTGCCAAACTAACTTCTTGCTTTACTGATCTCATTATAGTTGATCTCAATTAGCGACTAAGCATGGGGATCTGACTAACCGCTATATATTTGACTTTTAGACGTTCTGGTGGGTAATATTCATCATGGCGGAGACAGACAAATTGACTCTTGATCCAGAAAAGGGAGATCGTGAAGGTATTATTTAGTAATCTTCAAACCGAAATTATACCTTTTAGTTAGTTTGACAAGATATAGATTATATTTACAAGAAAAGTACAGGTTAAATATTAAGCAAAGACGGACAGATGATGGAACGGGACTGCCTAAATGATGGAAGAGATAGACATGCACAGATGACGGAAAAGACGGGCGATGACGGAAATATCAAGATTTTGTTGGCATCTCACTCGATTGATTAGATGACGGAAAAGACTAACAGATGGTGGAAAAGACGGCCAAATTATGGAAAGAGCAGGCTAAGTGATGGAAAAGAAAGACAGATGATGGAAAAGACAAGACAAATATTGGAACTGACGGACCTAAAGATGGAAAGGACGGAGAGATGATGGAAAGGACGACCAAAATGACTGAAAAGATAGACATATGAGGGAAAGGACGCACAGATGATGGAAAAAACAGAGTAAATGATGGAAATGACGGACCTAAAGATGGAAATAACATAACGGACCTAAAAATGGAAATGATGGACCTAAACCTAAATATATACCTAAAGAATGGAAAGAATGGGCAGATGATGGAAAGAAAGGCCAATGCAAATTATGGAGAGGACGACCAAAATGATGGAAAAGATAGACAGATGATGGAAAAGAAAGACAGATGATGGAAAAGACAGACAGATGATGGAAAAGATGGGCAAATGATGGAAAGGACGCACAGATGATGGAAAAAACAGACTAAATTATGGAAACGCGTCCCCCTCCACGCTTCGCACGCTTATAACAAGACTGGCAGATTACGGGAAAAAAACGGGCAAGTGGTAAAGAAGACGAGCTAGTAAATGATAGAAAAGGCTGGCAGGCTAGATGATAGAAACGTCGGACAGATGATAACGACGAAACGGACAAAATGATGATAACGACGGAATAAGTTATTTTTAAAAAGAAGAGTAGAATTAAGTATATAATTATAACCGACAGGCGTTACGTTTATAGCACTTGTTTTCAGACTTTGCACATACAGTGCCTGCAAGTACACTAAGTAAATATTTGTGTAATTTTCTTTTTTATGTTTTACACATGTAGCGAAATATTCCAGTTAGGCTAACAGTGAGCGTGCACGTTTTATAATGATATCTTCACTTGTATATTACAGAGGAGCCGCCTAAAAAGAAGTCAATGATGGAGGAAATCAAGGAAGCCAAGCAGCAATCGGCAAATTCCTTCAGCTTTGCAAAGATATTTTGTGGCATCGTTTTTGGATCAAGTAAGATAAACTGCTCGTTGATGCTGAGTTTTTATAGATTGTACAGTATTACGCCTTTGATAGTAGTGCAGTGGACTGTAGGTTGTGTAATTTTAATGGAGACTGCGTAGCTTGAGGGAACTAGTTATAAACAACGACAACGACAACGACAACGACAACGACAACGACAACGACAACGACAACGACAACGACAACAACAACAACAACAACAACAACAACAACAACAACAACAACAACAACAACAACAACAACAACAAACAACAACAACAAACAAATGCAATTTTAGGCCCAAGGCCCTCTCGTGCAGCGCTCTATGCATTTTAACCACGTGCATGTACAAATCGCAGGACCTCGGGTTCGATTCCTGCCGGTGGGCCCAAAATTGCATTTTTGACAACTGTTTTTGCTTGACATTTTCTATGTTGGTGTAATGTACTCAGGTGAATAAGATGCTTGTGATGTTACTCTGAGTGTATATCCACACCGGGCAGGCTTGAAAAATATGCCTGGCCACGGTGGGAATCGAACCTACGACCTTTGGAATACTAGCCCAATGCTCTGCCAACTGAGCTACGCGGTCAGGTCGGTTCGAGTATGAAATATTTCGGAAATTATATATAAATTTTCGTTGGAAAACAAAATTTCCATAGAACGAAATGCCCACTCATTTTGATCAAGTATAAGCTGTTCGATACGAGAATTATCTGAACCAATGCATGATGACATTGGCATGGCCCAACTCTAACAGTATTGAACTATCCGAGACCAGAAGTATTTTCAGATCAAATAATTAATCAACTATTGTTTTGCTAATATCTAAATAATGCTAAATCATAAGCAAACATATTAAACTTTTGACCTGACCATTATTATCTGCAAATAAATTTATATTTGATATACATGCTAACAAACTTAAATATCTGGAAAACAAAAGCAAACCTCTTGAAAATCTGTAAAATCCATTTAACATAATAGTTTTAAAAGTTGTTTTAAAATACGAATGAACTTAAATTTTGTTGTCCATAATTGGTCTTGAATGTGTGATACGTAACCCTAAAATGCATGGATACGCCCTGCATATTACTGACGGTATAATCTGATATCTATTATTTTTATTTGATCATAACACAATCCTTGCAATTGTATAACAGGTAGGGGTTTGCTGGGAGGGTCCAGGGGAGTGCCCGCTCTTCCTATCCTTGACGAAGGGTGGTATAGAAAGGGGTGCCAATTAATTTTCTATCAAATCCACTTTTTGATTTCGAAATGCAATTACAAAAACAAAAGTAAAGACAAAGTGAGTTAGTATCATGATTGTGAAGTTATCAATCAAGACTACAGACTAGTGTCTTGCTGCCTTACCTCCTATAATGGTCACTTGGTCAACTGTCGCACATTGAACCATGACCAAAACTCGATAAGCCCACCCTCTCCCCCACCCCTGCCTGATCTGGTTGGATCTATCCCTGCTGTATAACATTAATACTATTCAGCATGTAGGAACAGATCTAATTATTTTATTTTGTATTACTATTTTAGTAATTTGGACAGTAATGCTGGCAATATTCAACATCATTCCCATCACTATCATTGTCATAGGTGAGTCTTGAAAATCAGGCAAATGTATCAATCGGGCAAATGTATTAAATGTATCAGTAATGACATGGATCAATACCTTTCCATAAGTTACATTGCCCTTTCCAATGAAGTTTCTTTAATCTAAACTTTGCGTTGCAACAATCCAAAAGCATATATAATGAACACTTTCGATGTGGGGCTATTTGGTTAAGCTAATGTCCAATCTTAGGTTCCAAATAGCAATTATTACCTTGCGCACTCAATGTTTAAGGTTTAAGATCCCTCATCTGTGTTAGAAAATCT